CAAACTACATTGAATTAATTAAACAGTTCTTATGACATTTCCTAATCTTTCTTCCCTATATTTTGCTTGTCCAATAGTGTCTTTTTATTGTTATGTCAACTGAGAAAACTTCTCGAATATTCTCCCAAACTTATGATGAATAACCACTTTCTCCTCCTACTATTTTTAACCGATTATACCATCATCACTGTTCAACTACTGTTGTCTCCCTAAACTACGATCTTCATGCCAAACCCAAAATATCTAATTAAGTAAAATGATATAGTTTCTCAAATAACATGTAGTGGCTGTGAGGTCAATGATTCAGGTCAAATTAGTAGATTGGCTTTAAACAGATTATTGGAACATAAAAATTTAGCTTGACCTAGAATGATTAACTCTGCTAAATCAAATAACCCCAGAAGAAAGATAGGCCACTGAATTGCATTCTTTTACATGTGATCACACGTTATGGGTGAGACAGGACAAAAGCATTAGAAAGTTAGTAAGAGAGGTTCATCACTGAATCTTTGTTTATCGATTCCATACCGAACCTTTGCAATCGAAATGACGCAACGCCTATACAGGAGATAGGAAAGACTGCAACAAACAACAAGAGGAAGAGAGAGAAACATATATATTTCTATTATTATTGCTTTAGGTTCCAAGTAGAACATTGAGCTTCGGCCTGGAGTTTTGAAGTTTCAGTAACAGTGGTGTTACTTCTTCCCTCTTTATCTGCCGTCTTACCGATATTTAGGAGTGTTTCAGTTGGGCAGGAGAGGAATTCGAACCCCAGACAAAGTTGAGTATGACTGGCCATTATTGCACTATTGATCCACTAAGTCATTGACGATGCCAAACTTCTACCAGCAGAATAAAATAAAATGCTATCTATAGTCGGTTATAAAATATGTGGTAATCGTAAGTCACCAGACTGGTTGATAACTCTTCATTTATTTTAAGTAGTAGTTACTTCACATTTCAAGTAGCATTTATGTATGCAATAACAAGGTTGATTGAGATGGTTAGTTCGCGTTACGTCACAAAATATCTTGAATAGAGAATAGTATTTTCTCTGCTTTCTTTTCATCATGCACGATATGCATGTCTATGTCATATCTGATAAATTCTCTTACAAAGGAAGAAATTCGAAGGAAAGTCGGCTTTTCTTTTGAATATTAAGCAAAAATGGCGGTGAGATAGAGAGAGAAGAGTGCAATAAACTATCATCTCTATGGGAAAGGATATGGAAATCTCTAAATCTAATTGATATTGTCTGCTATTTTTTTAAGACTCTAAAACTTACAAAAAAGTAAACAAATCGCATTAGAATTAGTTTTATTTATGTATGGTGAAATATCAGGCGAATAATCCGATTACGTTGTGAGTGCAAACATGATGACATAAGGTTATTATTATTTAAAACAATTAGTTTATCCTTTATGAATTTACATAAACCAATAGGAAGACGTAATTTGTTTGAATCGTGTAATGTATTTGTAACGAAGGTGATAATAATTTTCAACTTGATATGATAGTTTGAAGATACGAATATAGATTTTCTAATCCTATGAAATCTTGTCTCTAAGCCCCTTGTAATCTATATTCGTACCTTCAAACCATCATATCAAGTTGAAAATTATTATCACCTTCGTTGCTATGTGGAATTAAACAAATAATAATGTTTGATTGCATGGAGGATTTAATCATGAGCTGACATGCAATCAAACAAAAAATCCCTACAAAAACCAATACTTGAAAATAATAATGTATCTGTGCCCACAACACATTTCGAACAATCTGATCACACACGGGCTTGTCATATTTATATTTCGTACATTGAGAATTTATCTGAGGATTTAATCGAAAACGTGCCACTTTAGAGAAGGTTTGTAAATGATTTGTAATCATCAGTGATAAATTTTCTTCTGCCAACTCAACCAAGGACATGAGTTTCTTCATGGTTGCAGATACACCTTGCGGACTAGTGAAGGCTAACTAGCACTAAACCTAGGTCCAAAGCTTCTTGCCGATCGCCTCTAATCTTCTAATAAACCGTAGAACTGTACATCCAGGGTATAATAAAAAATTCAAGCTAAGAAGCATTGTGTCCCGGAACTGGTACACTATTGGACAATCAAATAATCTTGGGAGTGTCTAGTTATTATCAGTAAATTCCAAGTATGAATTGCTGATTTCTCAGATAATCACATTAACTCTAACTGAAAAAAATGAAAAATATGCAAAGTAATAGGGAAATTTTGCAATTGAAAAACGCTCCTAATGGTCTGCTTAATTTAGGAGAAAATGGTCTGATAAAGATTATGGACACTACACAAGTATTTGTGCATCTTGCATGAGGTTTCTATGAAAACAGATTTATTTTCAAATATTGTTTTACTGGAAGTGGTGTCAGTTAGAGAATCACTGTAAATATAGGGAGTACTGGATCGTTTTGTTTCGTCCTAGTTTAAGACTATTCAATTGTATCTGGAAATGGATTTACCAGTTTATCTGTTCTGCAGAATTTCTTAGGAATAAAATTAATACTTTTTCTTATCTCGAAATATACTTCGCCTCTGACTACTGTCTTTCATTCCATTAAATCCGGAAGGGATGCAACGCTTCAGGCCTTGAAGTGTTTGTGGTGGTGGGATGGGGTTGTCAGTGGTCGTGCTCTGCCTCCCCTGCGTCGATAGCCTTGAGTCATAACCAGGCCTTGGGTGTGTACTAATGAAGATTTTGAAACTGAGGCTAAAAGGCTGTCGAGTATGTTGAAACATTCATAGTAAAAATACCAAAGAGTGTTTGAAACTTTTTACTTCTGTCCTAGCGAACATCTAATTTATGTGCGTCCATTATGAGTTAAGTTAGCATCTGTAGAAAATGAAAGTCTTTCACTCATTCGGATGTTCACTATCAGGAAACTACAGTAATAATTTTCTTAATTCGTTTAAATATAAAGTTGACAGAAAACATTAGGTGTATTTCTTAACAATAAATAAACCAAAATCTTATGAGTAAGTTATTATAACCGGAAATATTTACCACTAGAACTGCCTGTACTGAAGAAATAAGTGATTCAGTAAATGTAAGAGAAGTGTTCAAACAAGCAAATGTGCGCGTAAAGTGGCCCTCACAACGCTCAAGGATAATTAGAATAATAATATTGAAAAATTACTTCAAAAGGACAAATACACATTTTCACAGCTACGTTCCTTTCTAGCATAGAAGAAATGTGGTCAAGACTGTTGTGTAGGGTCGGAACTATTGGTGTGGAAGATGTGATTGATGGTGAACATAACGTTGTATACCATACAATCAGTAAAAACAGCTACCTTGAGACGTTCCGTCGTAAAACATATCACTTACAGAGTAGGAAGGAATTCTTCTGATACTGCTAACAAGAAGCCTCCATATATACGACTACAATTCACAGGTGATGTATTAAGCAAAAAAGAATAACCGATAAGTTAGGAAAATTGACTGACGTTTTCCACAAAACCAGTTGTGATCTCGAAACTGGGAGACGAAGTACCAAGACTAGGCACCTCTAATAGTGATTATCATTATCAAGTACTTCTGTGGAGCCAGTTATGTTGACCATTCCTTTAGGAACTTAAGATTCTGTTTTGAGGAGAATCTACCAGTGTTGTGGCTAAATAAAAGTGTAATTAAAACCATCACCTAGAGTTCCATATTACATCATTTCGTTCAAACTGGCTACGAAGCTAGATTTGAAGATCCTTATTCTGTCATCTATCGGATAACGAATAAATTACCAAAGGCATCCAGATATCATACACTCCAAATTCTCTAAAAAAAACTGATTTTCTGTGTGCAAAAGAAGCAATTGCCATCGCTACTCTGGCCTACTGTAGGATGTATAAATTCCTTAGTTTATCTGATATTGAGTTCAGTGTTATACCAATGAATACTATTACTTACAGATGCTTTAGAACAGCAATCTATCGTTATAGTTTATTCAATGTTACCAGGAAATTGGTGTTATCAATTATACTTCTTTAATTTCAGATTAGACTGCGGATTGAGAGAGAACCATTTAGAGCCAGAGAGTACCGGCCAGCTGTTTCATCCTAGTCTTGAACTCATCATCAGTGGCGCTGGCGCTAAAATCACGAATTGGGAGAAGTTAGAATTCACTGACTGGCCATTGAATCGATTCCTAGTGGCTGAATGGTATACGAGCTTTCCCTGTAACTGGAAGGTCCTGGGTTCGAACCGTATTGGTTGGTGCGTACTGCTGATAAGTCCTAAGTACTAGGATGAAACAGCTGCCCAGCACTCCCTGCTGAATTTCAATGGTTCTCTAACTGATATCGATCCGTGGTCTAACTCGAAGTAAACAGAATCCGTACAAACTGAAAATTTCTTCAGTTATTATGGAATATAATCGTAAAACTCTGATGAACAAGAATTTATGTACGAAAATATACGTTGTTCAGTAATCAGTATTTAAAGTTATTTTAATGGACTTTTGCTAGTTGTAACCACTTATGAGAAGTGATTAATTCTATATTACATCTGACTTTTGCAGCCATTTCTTGTGTACTTCAGTTTATAAAACTCAGGAATGCTTTGGAATAAACACAGTTCGTTAGTTATTATTATAACATTCTAACGGGGCTCGAGTCTCAGAAAGGACATAAGTTTCTTCAGGAATACTGAAACGACTTTCTGACTAGGAAGAGACAGTGAGCAGAAAATCTAAGCGAATCAAGGCTTCCTGGTGTATGCTTCCTACTGTCTTATAACAGTGATTCACCGTGAGCCACCTCTCCACATGGTGGCCACCTTGTGAAGTTGACTGATAGAAGTTTGTCTGCATGAAATAGTGGACTAGACTCCTGACATTAGTTCCTCTAACCTGGTGTTCAGTTACAATATAATTGACCTTGATCTGTACTTTTATTCACAAGTGAATTTTTTTTAAATAATTAGACTGTATAATGCGATCACACTTTCTATTTTGTTTTATTTTATTTCAGATTGGTATAATGTATTCGGTGCACTTCATCCCGAAATGGTTGACACTCTCACATCTAATTTGGATTATTACAACTTTTCTATCTCATGATTTCACAGTTGAAGCTTATTCAACATTTACTCCTATTAAAGGTAGTAACGGTTACCTTGATATCTTGAATACCGGTGGAGTAGTTGGTGGCAGCAGTAGTAACTTCGATGCTTCTACAACACCCCAATACAATCTACGTTATGCCATCACAGAAAATCAACCAATCAAATTTAAAATTGGCAAAATTAATGAAGATTTACTACAGACACCAGAGATACGATCCACACGTCTCTTCACTATGCTTCAACCCTTGAAACATGCCAGTTTATACTATCGATTAAGAGAACCATCGAATTACTTTGATTTAAACGAGACAACCAGTATACTATTCACAAAGAAATTAATTGATTTAGAAGAATTGTGCCCAAGATATTGTAAAGAGAATACATTTCATGCTCAGTTGAATATTCATGTGAATATATGGGCTAACTATCAATTAATCTGTGTTGTAAACGCGGAGATTACAGTCACTGACATTGATGATAATCTGCCAACATTCCCATCGACTGTATCAAGACCTTATACACTAAGATTAAAAGAAGTTATCTATCGTGCTGGTAAACATGTGGAACTACCAAAGGCAATTGATAAAGATATACAACCAAATCATGCAGAAATTGCCTATCGACTTGATTCACATCCTGAAGATAGATTCAATTCCCTGGAGGCATTTCGTTTAGTTGTACGGAATGATTCACGTCTTGTCCTAGTCTTACAAAAAGATCTAGATTATGAATCGGTTAAAGAGTATCGTTTCTATCTGGTTTGTTCTTCACCGTATATCAATGCAGAGCATAACTCGGATTTATCAACAACAGAAGATCGATTAGAAACTATTATTGAAGTACTTAATATTAATGATATTGAACCAACATTTTCACAAGCTGTTTATGAAGTGAAAGTTGAAGAAAATGTTCCTGTGAATTCAACTGTTTATGAGGTAAGTGTATTATTTAATTAAACAATCATTTTATAAACGTTTTCTGGACAAAATTGACCCAAGCATACTTAATCACAGCAATGGTTCAACAACAGAATGATTAATGGATATGCAGGTGATCCGGGTTCATTTCTTAGCCGATGCAATGCTGAACCTTACATAGTTTGTTAGCATATAGAAGGCTTACGAGTCAAGGGAAGGTTGCGTGTGAGGCTCACAGCTGCACTACCTTAGATAACAATAGCTCAACTACAAAAACGCCGAAATGTGGATCCCTGTGTTCCCCATAGAAAGCAATTTATGAATATGAATAAATTAACCAGAGATGTCTGAAATTAAGTTCGATTGCTGTGGAAAGAGTATCTGTTATATGCTTTGGAAACTGTAGAGTAATTCTACTATTATTCCTTAGTGTTCTGAGCGAATAATAGGGCCTCAAAAGAACAAATGCATTTCATCCTGTTTCCTGAAATCTTCTTGAACTGGCTACACATTTGCATTCAATACGATCTCCTTTCTGTCACCTTCAGACCATAGCCTAACTCGTTTTATAGTGTTTAGGTTCCATCCGGTGGCCTGAACTGCCTACAGCAACAGTCGATTGTATTCTTAGCGTGTATCCTCACCATCTTTGCATTTTTCGCCATTTTTGTTGGGTAATAGGTTGTCTGATGAACCACCGCCTGACAGAGTTTCTTCTTTCTAACTCGAGTACGAAAACTGTCCGAAAGTTACTTACCAAATAAATTTCAGCGTACTATTTATGTAAAAGTGTGTCCGTGGCACAGCGGTAGAATGCTTGCCAACCAGCCTGGTTCGGGGTTCGAACCCCTACCGACGCACTCCTTTACCTTACTAAGCCGAAAATAAGAATGGTAACGAAGGGAGGTCGGGCACCAGACTAGCAAACCCATCCAGTGAAAATAAATCCTACTGCTTATGAAACTTCAAAGACACAGCCTGAAGCGCTGTGTTGCACTGGGAACGTAGAGGAATAAGAAAATTATGCAAACATGAAAAAGAAACACATTGAATGTTAGGGCGAGGAATAAGCTCTCAAAATCTTCTCGTATTTATCATAGGGATTCAAAATCAAATAACGGATGTAAGGAAATGACAGAATGCTACTGCCTTTGTCTTGATTCACAAAGTTTTATTAATTTAAAATTATAAACGTATAATACCTATTTATTTGGAAGTCACTTAGTTTCATCCAGAATAAACAACAATGTGTGTATTGAAGCAATTCCAAATTTCTGATAAACAGTGACCCATTGTATAATTACGGTGAAATATTATGCTAATTTATGCTGGATATTATTGTTCCCTCGGTTTCAGCAGAATATATGTATTCTTTCCTATTTACTGCAGTCTCCCATAGCTAGCTTCACGACTGCCCATAACCTCTCATCGCCTTTCCACACGATCTCTTGCAGATCAAATAAAGTATAATTATATTTTAATAGTTTACACACCATAATAAGTTTTGTTATTGGTAATATTTCGAGCAGTGATGTGAACACGGGCAGTAATTTTGCTCGAAATATTACCAATAACAAAACTTATCATTGTGTGTAAACTATTGAAATATAATTATACTTTATTTGATCTAATCCACAATACTCAAACTTTTTACTGGTATTAATTCTTGCAGATCACTTTCAAACGCTGAACTCGCCATTTCTCACTCGAGTGTCCTGTCTATTTCCATTTTCTTCTGTATATTTCTTAAGTGATGGGTCACTTTCCAGAGTTCCTTACTGCTAATTCTTTCCAACTAGCGATGTGGTTCTCAGAGAAGAGCAAAGGCAGCTGCCTATGGAAGCCTAAAGTGACCTGTTGAAAATACTATCGGTGAGGTGCCGTCTAAGTCTGTGAGATGCCTTATCTAACATTGGTGTTAAAAATTCAAATCTTGTCGTTTATGCTTTGCCTAAACTTTCAAATTTGTTTCAGATTAATGAGGGTCTGTGACTCCCAAATACTGGCTAGCTTTGACAGCCTCAGCCATAATGTCGCCAATCTTTCCTAGATTAGTGAAAGAAGTGTTGAGGATACGAAACTGTGAAATTACTGAAATGATTTCAGAAACATTTAGTATACCTTTGCTAATTTGCATGACAACATTAACTCTTATGAAACAGTCCCCGTGACTGTGTTATCTAAATGAAACTATACCCGGTTACTTGTCAATTTCTATTTTGTTGAAACATGTCCTGATTATCTCAAATCAAAACTGTATCTAATGAAATGATATTTCAAGTACTCAGGAGTTTATGACCTGTCATATGAAATCAAAAACATTGCAATTGCTTATTAGTTTAGTTGATTTGATATATAAAACACAGTGAGTAGTGATACAGTATTCATTTAATTGGATGACAGTGTTTCGAGCATGGCTTTATCTTGCTGCTCATAATCACATCAATGTATTATTCTCACAGTTTTATGATTTATTTTATATAATTCACATGCTTCCACTTCTTACTTGTTGCAATCATTAGATTGATTGATTCTGTTAGGTTGGATAATCTAGAAGAAAGTTCAGCCACTTTCATGTAATCACATAATGAGTTATATGGGACATGGTGATGGTATTCAAAAGTAATTTAATTAGTTGGAGAGAGAATCTTTGTTCATCCACTCAATACCGAACATTTAGAATCGTAAATGAAGCATCGCCTATACGGTCAATAAACAATAAGAGCGGGGGAAGGGCAGTAGAAAAAATATATGTAAGCAAATTATGAAGCCATGCTAATAATACACTGATACGATTATGAGCAGCACTAAATTGTGACCGAAATGTCATCCAGTTAATAATGCTGTCTCACCCACAGTGTCTGATATCAGATGAATTCATCTAAGGTGGAATTACGTCCTACCACAATGCCCAAGTACTACGCTTACGTTAAAAATGCTGAATTTTTATGTTGTGTAGTTGTCGGGTTTAAGGGTATTCCAATGGCAATGAAAACGACTTGGAACAATCTAAATTAAGAACTAGTCATGACAAACGTTGTCACACGACAGAAAGAATTTTGATCATTCATAAAGAAAATGAGCAAGTTGAAATTTGCATTACAATGATGCTGTCTAAGAGGACATTGAGAACTCCACAACCAGGTCACCAGCCAGGTCAGACAACTCGAACACATCATAACTAAGGATACTGTCTTGGAATGTGAATAAATATTCCTTTTCACATATTCAACAGAAGGTATTTTAATCTTCCGCACATGAACGTGTTTCAGTATGTTCATAGACTTTATTGATATAATCTGATTTGTTCATAAATACTGTCTATTTATTCCTGTCTGATTAAGTAGTTACTATGTTCTTTTCATTCCCCCAATGACATGGAATTTCTGTTTCTTCGTGGGATAATTTTTTTCTCGATTTTTTCTGGTGCTCTAATTCGCTCATCACCTATTTTGTATGCTACACTTGATGCTACTATTACTCTAGGAATGATATCCCCAGATTTTTACTTATTACCTGCTACATTGAAGTTTAACTCCTTTTTTCTACTATTTTAATTTCATCAGAGTTCATTGTCTTTGTTGCGAGGTTGGTTCCATCAATGGATGAGATGGTATTTCACTAACAACGTCATTTGTTATCAAGTGTTGGTTTTTACAGAAATTTGATCTATTACAGGTTTGATCACCAGTAGACATCAGTTAGGCAACTACTGGAAAAACAACATGGAGTACTGGACAAGGACAACCGTTTCGTCATAGATTAAGACTCTTCTGCAGTACCAACCCAATGGGCTGTACAAACCTAAGGCTGACTCTTAAACCATCCAGTCACTGAGACGTGACCCCATGACCCATGAATCCTTACTTCTGCCAGTCACCGATAAATAAATGTAGCTCATCCTCGTGATCAAACCTGCAAACACTGAAATCACTGCAAACGGACACTTGATAGTTATTCTGATGCTCATTAGTGACTGACAGTATGCAAGACGTTACGTAAAGTCCTAGTGAGAAGTCGAAACCAGCTGGGTCCACCAAGTCAACTAAGAGATAATCTATCCGTCTACAACGATGACTAAAGATTGTGCTATTATTATTTCTTTGTGTTCCGGTTCGAACATACGGCTTCAAAAACGGTTCTCCACTTTCTTTTATTTCCTGCCACCCTCGTTATCTGGTTAGCTCTGAGATTGCCCATAAGCTCTCATCTCCTCAAACTCGCCAAACTACCTCCTCTATGCCCCACCCACACTGACTACCCACTTGTCGCTTCCCATTCGGATTCCACTCGAATAATGGCCTGCATAGACGGCGATGTTATTCAGCGGCTTCATCATCGTGTTTTCTATCCATCTCCATTTTCTTCAGAATATTTGTTGAGCGATCGGCTGTCGCCAGTTGGTTGGCTCCCGGACAGCCTGTCAGCCAGAGTTTCTTGTTACTAATCCTTCTAACGGCCGACCGGCTCTCTGGCTAACCATTTAATCTTCAGTATGGAGCCAGCCAGTGAAGCGGGCAGCTGTTGATAAAAGTCTGAAGTGGCTTGCTGGAAATCTTATTTGTGACACTCTGCCCATGTTTTTGACTCATATAGGAGAAGTGACTGACTGAATTCACATTTATGTTGAACTCAATCCGTATCTTGTTCTCCATGTTGCCTGAATTGTTGCACAGGATTTTCAAACTGATTTCAAGTTGGTTGATGAAAGCGTACTTTGTTTTTTTCGATTCCGATTCTAACCTTGACACCTTCGACCGTTCAGCTGGTCTGTGGTTGAAACCGTGCTTCCTCTCTCAAATCTTTCCTATTGATGGTGATTGGTGCTGGTTGTTGTTGGTTGGTTGGTTGGTTATTTTCAATATTGTCTCCTTTATGTCCATCTGCAGTCCTGTCTTCGTTACCTTCTAGGCTCTTCTGTCAGTTTGATGTTTTTCACCTACCTGCACGTCTTCGAGTTTGCGTGACATTAAACGTAGATTATCCACGCATTAAATTCAGATCTTCTAGAGTCTTCT